AGCTCAGCTGGCCGGGCGGGGCCGGGCCGCGGCTGTCCCGGTCGCCGATTTCTGGGCGTTCCCGCCGCGTTAGGGCCTTGTTGTGTGGTTGTGTCCCGGTTATGCTAACGGCTGCGGGGAGGTTCAGCTGAGAGAGGGCGGGTTTGTCCTGAAACTGAAAAGGCGTCACCGAAAACCTTTACCGCGTGGGTCAGTGTCTGTTGTTAATAGTGAACGACCCTCTCTTATCAGCAAGGAGGGCATGTTAAAAAGAAATTCGGGTTTGACATCTATGGAATATTTTTTCTGTATCTCTCCAAGTTCTGTTAACGTGACTCCCACTTTAAATGTCTCTTTAAACCCACATGCGATGTGACTAAACCGAAAACCCACAGAAAGCAGACAAGTGTCTGCTCTTGTGTTTTGTTGAAGGACAATAAAATTAATTGTTTTGCTTTGTGGAAAACTGGTAGCTAGTCTGCAAACTTGCTCTGAAATAAAGGAAAGCCAGTAGTTGAATCAATAGTCCAAACTGTTAAAATAAACTTCAGAATTTCCTTGATAAATACTACTTGTTTTTATTAAAGCTGTGATGAATTAGGTCACTCTTATAGAGGAGTTACAGTATTATCACAAATTGTGTTAGTCCAGAGGACTTAAGAAGGGATGAGCAGAACCAGCACAGGCTCATAATGTTAGTCCCCGATTAAAGGTGTGAACTATTTGAAAGGTACGGTTGAAATATAAGGCCTTTCACTCTGTTTTGTCAATTTCAGAGAGAAGATTCATCTGCTTGATAGGAAAAAGTCTTAGAAGCAAAAAGAGGGACAAAAGGGATGTTGTTATGTCTGCCACTATGGAAGAAGATGTCTGTAATCATGTGAAAGTGGTGGTCCGTGTCCGCCCAGAGTCTCAAAAGGAGAAAGATGGCAACTTTAGCAAGGTTGTTCACGTTGTTGACCAGCATATATTGGTATTTGATCCAAAGGATGAAGAAGTTAGCTTCTTTCATGGGAAGAGACTGACCCATAGGGATATTAATAAAAGAAAAAACAAAGATCTTAAATTTGTCTTCGATACTGTTTTTGCTGAAAGTTCATCCCAGCTGGAAGTTTTTGAGCATACTACTAAAAGTCTAATTGATGGCTTCTTAAATGGATATAACTGCACAGGTAATTTTTCTATTTATCTTCAATTAAAAAACATCACTAGATTCAACAGAGCTTCTACCGTTGTATCTGACAGCTTCAGAAGCCTTAAAAAAGGCTGAGATATAAATAAAGCATTTTGTTTTAATTGACAAATTTGAGAGGCAAATTTTTTAGCCTACTGAACTTAGGCTAGCTCTAATCAATCTATTTTGAAGGTGAGTTCATTTTAAGGCTATAATAGACTTAAGAATTTTATCTAAAATATGGGTGCTTAGGAGGAGAGTCCTCTGGGAAGTTTTTCAACTAGGTAGCTGCATTATGCACTCTCTTTAAGAGCTTGGGGTTTAATTGGCAAATGGAACATGGTAAGGACGTGATATACCTACCTGTAATACGTTGATGATTTGGGGCTATGAGAGTAAACAAATAATGTTTTCATGTAAATTGCCAGTGGATTAATTTTGAGCTGAAAATTCAAAAGTAAACTAATTTTGAAATAGTTTTGATAATAGCTGTAAAAGGTAAAGTCTGAGTAAGAAATTTGATCACTTTATGGAAACAGCTGTGTGGAATGATGGAGGTGTGTGAATGTCCATTTGACTCCTGATCTGCTTACTGCTATAAAGTATATCTTTGTTTTGTTTTTTTTGTGAAAATTTAGTGCTTGCGTATGGTGCAACAGGAGCTGGGAAGACTCATACAATGTTAGGTTCCCCTGAAGATCCGGGAGTGATGTATTTAACCATGATGGCGCTTTATAATTGCATGGATCAAATAAAAGAGGATAAAATATGCAATGTTGCTGTCTCTTATTTAGAGGTAATTTCCCGCATTTGGTATGTCACTTTTAATAAGGCATGTTTTAATAAATGAAGAGAAGCCAGTTTTGCCTTCCCATGGCCCATTCTGGGACTTGTCAAAATGTGTCCCTGATACGAATGGAACTGAACTGTACTCCACAAATTTGGTGTTATTCATAGGTACCTCTTACTGTTTTACAGAAAGCTGCCCAGAAAGGCATATCTGTTCTAATATATTCACTAAACATTCTTATGATTTCTGTCCTGCTGATCAGTTATATCGCTCTGAACATCTGTTGATGTGTACAAGAAAATATCTTTTCAGGACTTCCCAATAAAATCCTATAAGCACTCTGAAATCACACAACAAAGTGATATCTAATCCCTTTTTGATTTTTTTTTTCGTTTTCTATTTATTTATCTGAGACAGTACAACTACTTGGAGTGCCTATGCCAATGGATAACTTTTTACAAATATTGCTTTTGTTCTTTGTTGCTGTCTCCACTCCAACCTGTCTTGGCACTGCTGTCAAGCAATAATAGTAAAGTTGTTACTGTCTAAACTCCTCAAAGGCTTAGTAGAAGAATAGTTAATATCTGGGGGAGGAGAAGGAGGAGAGGGATAAATTTCCTTTGCCATGTGCTATTTCAAGCGGTCCCCCAGACCAAGTAGTAAGATACTTAAGAATTTTAAGAGAAGTACATTTGGATTAAGAAATCTCAATGAAGTATAGATTATGGAGGTGTAATAGAGGATAATAAATCCTTTGGATTCATGCTTGCTGCAAAAGATTTTTGACAAAAAAACTTTTTTTTTTAATTATTATTTACGATGAAAGAGTGATTTCTACTTCAACTGCTAAAATAATTCATGCAAATTGAATTAATATTTCAAACTCAGTAGAGGAAAGTTGTCCGGCAAAAATTCTACAAAGAAATGATACTTTGCCTTGAAGTATTAAAAAAGATTGTGGGGATTTCTGGTTGGTTAAGTTTAATCCTGTCAAGTATGGTAGAAGAGTTTTATTTTAAATTTTCTCTCAAAGGTCTACAATGAACAGATTCGTGATCTGCTGGTAAACTCAGGACCTCTGGCTGTTCGTGAAGATACCCAGAAAGGGGTTGTAGTTCAAGGGCTAACATTACATCAGGTATGTAAATAGGTACTGAAATTCAGGAAGCCTTACGGTGTGTTTGAGAAAATGGTCAAGTTCCTATCCCACTGATATGTGAAAGTTGTTGCAGCTTGGCAATTTCCTAGTGGGCTTTTTTCTTAGCCATAATTGCCAATCCCTTAGTAACTTACAAGCCTAATTAATTATTGAAAAGCATATTGTAAAAAAACCTGCTAATATTCTTGACTACAAATGGCTACAGCTTTCATTTCTTATTGTCAAAGGCATACTGTTGGTTTAATGCTCATCTTCAGGTTTTGGAAGGGGTTTTTTTGCTATAACATCTTAATGCTTGAAAAAGAAATTAACTGCCTTCAGTGTTGTCTTGGAGTCTTCTATACCTCTGCAACATCTCAGACCGGGTTTTGTTTTTAAATAACCATGTTTGAAAAGTTTCATGCTAAATTACTTTTCTAGGCCAGCATAGCAGTTTTCCAGTCTGGAAATCAACTCTTGCGGACCTCTTTTCTTGGAGTTTTTTGGTGTATGTCACATGCTATGTAGCTTCCAGCTTTTGTGTACGTGGAATGATGTTTCACCAGAAAACAGTGTTATTAATTTGGCTCACTAAACACCATCCTTCCCAAAGCTTGGGTCTTGTGTGGAAAAAAAATTAGTATATCACTGTTTAATGCCTTAGTACAAGAAAAATTCAATCAATCATTCTTAAATAGAACCTCTTCTAATTATGGAGGACTTTGCATTTTTGTTTAATTTCTTTACTAAAAAAAATAATCTGTTTCAAATTTCTGCAGTTAAGTGCTTGCTTTTTGTACCTTACTGCTTTTTAGCTGAGAATGTTTGTTTGAAGTGCCTCACTTCCTGTTCCAAACCAGGAAATTTCTCTTATTTCTAGGTAACTAAAATTTTAAGTTCTTTACTTTTTTTTTTGAAGGTGTATGTTAATGTATTTTAGAATCAGTGTAGGATCTCCTATAGTTGACAAAAAAGAAAAGTACATTTATCTTCTGCTCTACCCTTAAAGCCTAAATCAGCGGAGGAAATCCTTCAAATGTTGGATTATGGAAATAAAAATAGAACACAGCATCCCACAGACATAAATGCCTCCTCTTCCCGGTCCCATGCTGTCTTTCAGGTAAGATGATATAGCAGATGTACGGTGGTCATTACTGTGAGTTTTTGTTTAAAGTTGAATACAATGGAAGCTTGCTTTTTATTTAAAACTGTTGAGCGCTAGTTTGGGTGAGAGGAGATTTAAGTTTTTGAGTTTTCTTATTGACTTCTCATTCCTTGTAAATATAGAAAGGATCATAGTGATTATATTTAAAAAAAACAAGTTTCATTACAAACTCTCTAGTTATAATAGTTTGAACTAATATTTGTTAGAAGAAATAGCATTTCTGTAAAGCTGTAATTTTGAGCTTTGAATATAGTTGGTAATCTTAAAATAACTTTGGGGCTTTTTAGTGCATTTTTGTTTCATTACATTGCTCAGCATTTTTTCTGCGAAAACTATTTTACAGAATGCTGTTATTTCTGACTAAACTGATAATCTCAAGTAGCACTTTCTCATCCTGTTTATTTTGGTTAATGTTGGTTTTTACATGAACGTGATTTCTTAATCTGGTGTGTACCAAGTTTCAGGACAATTCAAGCAGTACATATTCTCTGAAAATATCTCCATACACATCCTTGTGTCACCAAAATGAAATGCTGACTTTTAGTTTCCATAGATGAGTTTTGCATGTGATGTACAAATCTGCTAGAATTTAAGACTTCTCCAAATATTGTTGTTCTTTCCTAACCACTGCCATATCCTTCTGACTCCTCTTAAATACAAGTTGTGATACTTTAA